TCTAGCCAGACTGCTCTGAGCCCTCTTCTCAAGCCTGGCTCATCATATACAAACTCGAACAAACGTTAACATAGTTTCTAACAGCACCAGGTCCCAACCCTGTGACAACACCAGTCCCCCTTAGAGCCTGCCTGAGGAAACTCAAGGCATCTACTGTTTGTTCAATCAACACTGAAAAGTCAGGCCCTTGTCTCCCAGTGAGCAAATACAAGTGGTTTCATATGGACCAATACCTATTCTACTTTTTGCAATGTGTTACTTCTCTGACCTTATTTGTCCCTGGCCTTACTTCTTCATTCTCTCCTCAAAATGCCTTCTTACAAATCGAGGTGGAGTTTCATTCACGCGGGACTCTCTTTCTGATTGCTACAGTTATTATTGATTAAAGTCCCGTCTCTTCACTTTAACCAGGATCAGGCTTTCTTTATCTTTGGTAAGTGCACACAACATAGATAAATCTCAAAGAACGCGCGGAGTGAAAGAAGACAAAGGAATTACATATGACAAGATTGCATTCACACGTTGTTCAAGACCGGGCAAATTTAACCTACCATAGATCCTGAAATCAGAACATGACCAGCGGCGGTAAGGAGACTAACTACAAAGAGCTACGAGGGTAACTTTTGGAGCTTCAGATACACTTTATGTCTTGTCTTTGGGGCTGGGACACAGATACACAGTTGACCCTTCAACAACACAGTGGCTAGGGGTATCCATTCCCATGCAGTCAAAAATCGGCATGTAAATTCCATCTCCCCCCCAAATTTCACTACTACTTGCCTACTGTGGAGCAGAAGCACTACCGGTAATAGAAACAGTTGATTAAAGGTCTTTTGTACGGTATACGTATTATACATTGTATTCCCTCACTAAAATACGCTAAAGAAAATACTCAGAAAATCATGAAGAAAATACATTTGCATTACTGTACTACGTATACCGGAAAATCTGAGCTGACGTCAATACTCACGCGCATATAAGTGGACTCATGCAATTCAAATCCATGTTGTTCAAGAGCCGACTGTGTACATTTCTTAAAGCTCATCAAACTGAACACTGAAGACTGAGCATTTTCTTTTATACATTATCTCCTCTCCCCTGCTCTCCCACCTCCAGTCTCTTTCTTCTTTCCCCTCCCCTTCTGTCTCTTACAATACCTGGGGAAATTCTTATTTTCTTTTTTTTCTCTTAAGAAGGCCACGTGCCCACATGGAAAGCAACATGGGATTTGAACTCACAACCCTGAGATTCTGACCTAAGCTGAGATCAAGACTCACACGCTCAACCTGACTACGTCACCCAGGCACCCCTACCTGCGGAAATTCTAAAGGAGGAAAAAAAAAAACAAAAGATGAGAGATGTGGCTGACCCTCCAAGTTCCCCTTTCAATATCCACCTGCCTGTACTTCCTTAGTAAGAGGACCTCAATTTTTACAAGGTACCAATCTGTCCTGTGAGAAATTCTCCCCTCCCACATGTTCCTACAGCTAGGGGTAGGGCCACATGCCTAGTTCTGGCCAGTGACATGTATGTTGAAGTTTACACGATAGGGTTTCCTGAAAAGCTACTGCTCTAACAGAATTAGACAAGTGCCTTTTGTCAGGGTCCCTTTCTTTTCTCCCCTCCTGGAGTACAGTGGCTCAAATGAACTAACAAAACAGTTCCCTGGCACAAACCTATTCTTACTCTGGGAAGCAAGCTATGGGACCTCTCAATCAATTCACAACTAAGTTACATCACAAGTCAAAAGGTTTAGGCATCAAAATGAAAAAAGCAAGTCCAACTGGAAGTGAAGAAGGATATACACATGGCTGTGTTAAAATATATGTAAGAATTTGGTATGTAAGTGATGTTTCAAACCCATGGGGGTTATAGACCATCACTAGATGGTGTAGGGACAAAAACAGCTACTTTATATCATACAAAATAATAAGGATAGATAAAATGGTCTAAGCAATAGCAGCCAAAACCATAAAAGTGCCAAAAGAAAATGTAGTACTGGTTGAAAAAGGTCTTTTAAAGCATCATCTAAAAACCACAAGCCATGAAGTTAAACTTTCAGATTTGGCAATATAAACATTCGGAATGAAAGGTATCATGATAGTGATCCGAAGGGGCATGTGCACCTGAATGTTTATAGCAGCAATGTCCACAATAGCCAAACTATGGAAAGAACCTAGATGTCCATCAACAGATGAATAGATTAGGAAGATGTGGTACATATATACAATGGAATAGTATGCAGCCATCAAAAGAAATGAAATCTTGCCATTTGCGACGACATGGATGGAACTAGAGGGTATTACGCTTAGCGAAATAAGTCAATCGGAGAAAGACATCATATGATCTCCCTGATATGAGGAAATCGAAAGGTAACATGGGGGGTTTGGGGGGTAGGAAAAGAATAAATGAAACAAGATGGGATCGGGAGGGAGACAACCCATAAGAGACTCTGAATGTCACAAAACAAACTGAGGAGGGCCAGGGGGAGGGGGTTAGGGAGAGGGTGGTTGGGTTATGGACATTGGGGAGGGTATGTGCTATGGTGAGTGCTGTGAAGTGTGTAAACCTGACAATTCACAGACCTGTACCCTGGGGCTAATGATACATTATACGTTATTTTAAACAAATGTATCATGAAATGTTTGGTACAAGCGAAACTCAAAGACAAGAAACAGTTTGGGACAAAATATTGTACCAAGTACAGAGGCAAAGGACCACCATCCTACATCTACAAAGTTCTTACATATCAATAAAAGGGGCACCTGGGTGGCTCAGTCTTTGGCTCAGGTCATGATCCCATGGTCCTGGGATCCAGCCTTACTTTGGGCTCCCTGCTCTGGGGAAGCCTCCTTCTCCCTCTCCCTCTGCATGTCACTCTGCCTACTTGTCCTCTCTCTCTCTCTCTCTCTCTCTCAGTCACTCCTCTTGCTTGTGTCCATGTGCTCTCTCTCTGTCAAATAAATAAATAAAATCTTCAGGAAAAAAAAAACCCAAAATAAAAAAAAAAACATGTCAATAATAAAAACATAAATAACCCAAAAGACAACCCAGTGGGAAAATGCTAAGGAGAGAGGGTTCATATAAGAAACTATCAGTGACAGAGACCAACTAAAAATACTCAGCCTTACTACTGATTATAAAAATATAAACTTAAGGGGCACCTGGGTGGCTCAACAGGGTAAACATCTGACTCTTGAGTTTGGCTCAGGTCATGGTCTCAGGGTTGTGGGATCTGGCCCTACATAGGCTCTGTACTCAGCAGGGACAGATTCTCTTTCTCCCTCTCTTTCTGCCCCTTCCCCATTCTCCCCCTCTCTCAAAATACAAAGAAATCTTTTTCTACCCGCCAGCCGACAATTTAAGAGACTAAGGTGATCCTGTGAGAACATCTCATTTACAATGGGTGAGAACAGAAACTGACATAACCTTTTGAGGACCATTTTGTAGAAGCTTCCTCCCTGAAATCCATCTCACTGGGAAATTCAAACACACATGCAAAAATGTTCATCACAGCCCGAAGAGCCACCCAAATGATGAACAGAAATATCATCACATAAGTACAACCACACTGTGGATGCACTTATTTCTGATTCAACAGTGCTACACATGTGGTCAACAGCACCTACAAACTGGAGAAGAAATGAAGTTGGGTCGAAGCCATTTCAGTTCAAAAATACACCACAGATAACCTAAAGTCTTCAGTACTTATCTATGTATTTATTTCTTGAATCAAACACCACTAACATCTACTACACGACAGACATAGCTCCAAGTGTTTTATTAATGTTAAATACTATTTCATCTTTACAATCATCTATGAAGTGGGATTATTATCATCCCCATTTCATAGATCAGGAAACTGAGAGGAAGACTGCTTTAGTAACACAGCTCCTAAGTGGCAGCGCTAGGATCAGCTTGGCTCTGGACTCCACGTTTTAAATCACTATCCTTAGTCTCCAAGCACCTACAAAACCTGCAAGTCTTAACACCAAACCTTGGTTTTCCCAACCCTACAATCCCCACCTGGCCCCAATTCCAAGAACATTCCCTCAATTCCCTTAACAGTGCACACTCCTTCCCTTCCCCAACTGAAACCCCCGCCCCCCCCCCCCCCCCCGCCCCCGGCCCGGCCCCTCTTTGTTTTGTTCTTAGCCCTCTGTTCTCCGGTTAAACATCATTCCCTAAATCACAAACTCTAATGCACGGCGGTCCTTCTATGCACTCAAAGCAAAGGGTAACGACGCATTTCACGGGTAATTATTTGCTTCCTGTGTTGTCCAAACGGGAGTGAGTACCTCAGACACCTCAGTCCTAATTACCATGTGTTCTCAATCACTGAATACTCACCACCCACCCAAAAGGAAGGGCCCACCACAAAGTACACTCTCAACAATTTCTGCTGAACAAACTACACTCCAGCCTCGTCCTTGCCAATATGTTACACACATCTGTCCTCACAACGCTGCCCCCACTACACCCCTGAGAATGTAGACTCCGGGGACTTTCATCCATGAGCTCTGGAAACTACTGGCTCTGTGCACCAATATTACCCGGTCCTGGGCCCGCACTCCCTCCGACCCCTCGGCCATGACTGGCCTGATGTCAGGTGCACAATGGGGATCCTGACAACCCCCAGTGAAATGTAATCTACTCAAGAGGGAGAACCCGAACTTCTTCCCCGTCAACACGACACTTACTCGTTTGACGTCGGTCTTCCACCAAGACCTTAGCCCCAAGAAGGCCGACACCCCGTCTGCCTGGTTCGGGCCGCATCCCAGTCCCGCTATCCCCAGGCCCCGCGCACAGCACAGGTAGATGATTAACAGCTCCATAAATGAAGCCCCCGCTCCGGGCTCTTCAAAGGTTGGAAACCAGGGGCGCGCGAGGTGACAGCTACCTTTGGGCGAACGAGCGTGTTCCTGAGACACAGGCCCGCCTCCCCCGAGGCCCCAACCCCGAGAGGAACACCGGCCTCTGACCCCGCGCCCCGCAGGTACCTCTTGCACATAGAAGCATCTTCACAAGTGCCGCGCACTCCCTCGTCGTCTGTGTCTGTCGAGGCAGAAGAACATGAGGGGAAAGCGGGCGTCCTCAAGCTAGTGGCCATGGGCGTGGAGGTTCCGGGATGCTGTGTCCACCGGGGACATGGAAGCGGAGGTCCACAGACGCGGAGGGAACAAGCCAAACGCCGATAAGACTGGAGAAATGGGCTGGGTTCCACCGCTCTCATCTGGCGCGGCTCAATGACGTCACTCACGTCAGATTCCAGAAAACTTCTTGGTCATTGGCGCGTCGATCCAGACGCTTATTGGCCCGTTTTTTTTTTTGTTTGTTTGTTTTTTTGTTTGTTTTTGTTTTTGTTTTTTTAAACCTCTTCGGCCCGGCATTCAGGTCACTGGATAATTCTTTCGTTCCCACCCACACAACACGGAAGCTCGCTCAGGCGAAGGGGAAATTGTCCAATCAGCGACTGGGCAGACGCGCCAATGAGCGGGAAGGTTATTAGCGTAGCTGACGTAAGCGACGTCACTGAGTCCGCGGAGCCAGCCATTCTCACCTGCGTCTCGGAGGCTGGCGGTTCCCCTCGGTATTTGTGGAGCCCGCTTCCTTCTGTCGGCGGGGCACAGCATCAGCATCCCGGAACCCCCGCGTGCAAGGATAGTGGCCTGAGGACGGCGTCTTTCACTTCCTGCTTTTCTCCTCGATAGCGACGACGAGGGAGTGCGCGGCGCTTGTGGAGATGCTTCTTTGCTCAGAGGTACCTGCGGGGCGCGCGGGCTCAGGGGCCGGCGTCCTCTGGGAGCGGGGGCCTCGGTGGGAGGCGGGCGTGTGTCTCAGGAACAGGCTCCTTCGCCAAAAGGTAGCCGTCACCTCGTGCACCCCTCCTGTCGCAGCCGTGAAGAGCCCGGAGCGGGGCTTCGTTTATGGAGCGGCTAATTATCTCACCTGTGCTGTGGCCCGGGCTTGGGGATAGCGGGATTGGGAATGCTGGCCGAACCAGGCAGACGGGGTGTCGGCCTTCTTGGGGCTAAGGACTTGGTGGAAGACCGGCGTGAAGGGAGGAAGTGTCGTGTTGATGGGGGAAACGTTCGGGTTCTCCCTCTTGTGTAGATTACATTCCACTGGGGGTTGTCAGAATCCCCACCGTGAACTTGAGATCAGGCCAATCAAGGCGGGTTGGGGGTGGTTCGGAGGGAGTGCGGTCCCAGGACCGGGTAATATTGGTGCACAGAGCCAGTAATTTCCAGAGTTCTTGCGTGGAGGCCCCCGGAGTCTATATTCTCAGGGTTGTAGTGGGGCCCTTTGTGGTGGGCCCTTCCTTTTGGGTGGTAGTGGGTGGTGATTGGGAACACATGATCAATAGTTCTGACCACCTGTTTGGACAAGACAGGAAGCAAATAATTACCCGTAAAATACATAGTTACAGTTTTTCCTTAAGTGCTGAGAAATACAGGGTGTGTTTGAGTTTGTAATTTGGAAATAATGTTTCAGCGGAGACCGGAAGTCTAAGACAAATGGTAGATGTGGGAGGGTGTTCCATTAGAACAGGACAGGAATGTGAACTGTTAAAAGAATTGACTGTCCTTGAGGCTGGAGCCACGTGAGGACTGTAGGGTGGGGAAAACCAAGGTTTGGGGTGAAGACTTTTACTTTCTGTAGGTACTTGGAGACTTAACATAGTGATTTAAACCATGGAGTCCAGTGCCAAGCTGATCTTAGCTTCGCTGCTTAAGAGCTGTGTTACTGAAGCACTCTTGATCTCAGTTTCCTGATGGGAGAAATGGGGATGATAATAATGCTACTTCATAGCTGACTGTAAAGATGAAATGGTATTTAACATTAATAAAAGACTTAGAGCCACGTATGACGTGTAATAGGTATTAGTAGTGGTTGATTCAATAAATGGATAAATACAGAAGTTTTGAAGACTTGGGGACAGTGTGTGGTGATATATGTGAATTTAAATGGCTTCGACCCAACTTCATTTCTTCTCCAGTTTGTAGGTGCTGTTGACCACATGTGTAGCACTGTTGAATCAGAAATAATTTTTCTCTTATTGACTGTTATTTGCTAAGGGAATCTGATGTGCCATTGAAATGATCAGAGAGAAAGAAAATACTTTTCAGTAGCATATTACAATTATGTTTCTTGATAAGTTGTTAATGTGGCTTTAATATCTGTTGGTAACAGTTTGTGCAAACTTGGTTACTTAACAAAAAGTGCATCAACTGTGGAGTAACTCAGATACAGCCAAAGGAGAGAGAAGTAGTGTAAGTAGAGCTTGCCTTTCCGTGACTCTCTGTAGGAAGGTTTTTACAATTCCTCTGTTCCTCTCTGCCTCAGTTTCCAATGCCCCGCTCTGTCTGCAGACAGCTAGCTACACATTGTAGTTCGGGAAGTTTGGGTTTGGAATTGCAGAGACTCCAAGGTAGTCGTAACCAGGCCAAAGGGCACATCAGCAGAGCCTGTGGGGCTTTTTAAAGAAAAAAGAGGAGGATTCTGAGATCCTCCTCTAGACTCACTGAGTCAGAATCTTCTGGGATAGGTCCCGGGCTATAAAGACCAGGTATGTCTGCCATGTGGATGCGTTTCATGACAGCTTTTTTGGCACTGGGCTTTCCTTCATTGGAACCACATGCAAGAAGATTGGGAGAATCCACAAGTTAATGTTCGAAACCATTTTGCAGGGCTCTGTCCTTCAAGTTCCTTGATTTCGTGATCTGCACCTTCACTGTGGTGTGTTAAATTCTTAAACCTTGTCAGAAAGTCATGTTATTGGTAGCATAGGGATTCCTTGCATGAATCATGGACAGATCCCTTTCTGCCCCAGTCCTCTCTTTGGAATGGGGAAAAGAATGGTAACTGGCCTTTGGGATGTAAGGATTAAATGAAAAATAGATCCACGGCAGTCAGCACAGGATCTAGCACAGAGTGAGGCCTTCCACAAATTATTATTACTACTTTTGATTTCCCTCCTTTTTTTTTCTAATTGTATTCTTTCTTTAAGAGATTGACGTCATGCATGTGACGGGGGAGGGCCAGAGGGAGGGGGAAAGATTCTCAGGGAAAATCCACACTGAGTGTGGAGCCCAACATGGGACTTGATCTTGTGACCCTCAGATCATGACCTGAGCCAAAATGAACAGTCATATGCTCAAGCAACTGGGCCATCTGTGCGCCCCTGGACTTCCCTCCATCTGAATATCGTTGGGATGAAGTTACCGACTCTGTCCTCGCTGTGGATCACGCTGGTTCCTGCCTCAATAGACTATGGCGAAAAAACCCTAAAATAATGCTAAGAAAGCCAGTTAGCCTCCCAGGAGACCTAGGGTGCTGCAGGTTTGGTGTGTTACCTCCTTCAGTACAAAGCCCTCCTGGGACTAACAGTGCTGTGAACTGTCTGAGACGGCCACTGGGAAGATGAAATGTGAGGGACTCCCCCCAGTGCCTGGCACAGAGTAGGTGCTCAAGATGGGTAGTTAGTGTTGGCACCATGTCACCGTCATGATGAACTAGTGCTCTCATTCCTACCATCCTACAGTTAGAACACTTCTCATTGGACATATTGGGCTTATATGTTATTATATTCTAATAATTCCATTCCATTTTCCTCATCTCCCCTCTCCTTATCTTCCCCATCCTGCTATTCCCCTAAGGCTATTCCCTCTTTTTTTTTCCTGTGACCCCCACCCCCAACCCCTCCCGTGTCCTTGGAAATTAGAAGTCCATAATCACCAGCCACCTCTGTTTCCTCAACCTCTCCGTAGCCATTTCATCCTACTCTTTGCTTCGATCCTTCTGGGGGGGACATCCATTCTTGATGACCCATAGGGTGTTCTCTGTGTTCTCATACCCTGCATTTTTCAGGTCTGGGGGGTTCAAGATTGGTGTCCTCCTTCTTCTTTGCCCCCATGCCATTTCTTTGAGATCTGTGGTCCCTAGGGAGAGCATTCTGGCCTCCTCATCATTACTGTTTTCTCCCAACCCCCCATAGTTATTAAACCAATTCATGGAAGACTTGGGTGCTGGGCCCACAGTCTTCCACTATGTCTCCTGCTACAGGCCTAGGTGGACTCCATGTGCACATGGAGGACCCAGCTTCCACACAGGGCGCTCATTTTCTCACTCATTTTCTCAGACGCCTACTTTGGCGTGATCACTTCTGCCACCACTCCCAGCGTGGTGCCCTGGATTTCCACCCTGGTGCTGCACCACCTCGCACGTGAGCAGCGCGGCTCCTTTCAGCCCTGATCTCTTCTTTCCAGCGTGTTCCTTCTGTCATTTCTGCTCTGCTATCTGCGCGCTCCTCCCGAGGACCTCCTTGGATTTCTCTGTCCTTTATTCTCCCTTGACGCTCTCATCTCTCAGCTGAGCTTGGAGTTCCCAGCTCATGATTCAGCGGTTGTCCTGGCAATGCTTCTACCGCCCTTGCCTTTTGTCTGAGTAAACCCCAAGCCCTGGGGGAACCAAAGCATCCATGTTCACCTTCAATCCTGATGGTGGGAATCACACAGCAGGGCAGCCCGGAATGACTATGAGTTCCTGTAAACCAGCCTCACCTGTGCCCTCATGGAGCTCCCCCATTCTGTGGTTCTCTGGGCAGCTCCCTTTCCCACTCTGGAATCCTTCCAGCAGACTTTTCCCACTCTCCTCAACCCTGTGATGGACGCCGCCCTCCTCTTTCATTCTCTATGTAACATGGGCATTGGGATGGGTAGTGCTTCACAGAGAAGACGGGAACCTTCAGTTTGGAACTCCATGAACATCCCTCCAAGAAAGGGAACCATCCTTTCCTCCCGTGGCGGTGGTCAGCGTCCTCCCCAGAGGCCACTGGGAGCACACCTGTCCTTAAACACAGTTCGTCACTGATCGTGGGGGAGAACCCACATATTGGGAACTGTGGGGCTGGTCAGTGAGAAAGGGGTGTTTGAAAGAACGTACAGGATTTGGGCTTTGGGCGGATGTTTTTGGGAGTGTTCAAGGAAGCAGGGGTGTGCTCTGGACTGAGTGCTGACAGGAGGCGAGATAGTTCTGGGATTAGCTAGCTCTATCAGTCTTTTCTAGAAGGAGGTGTGAGTAGTGTGATGAACAGTGTCATTCAGAAGGAAGGTGCTCACTAGTATGAGCCGGGAAAGAGGACGATTGGTATTTTGTGGTGGGCATGACAACCTGGTTTTGTGTGTTTGGACAAGGGGAGAAGTGGGCCTATTTTGTCTCCCTTCTTCCCCACAGCCAGGTCACCTCGTGCTGCTGTTCTGCAAGGTCCTTTGTGTCAAACAGTAGAACCACATGGCCTCTCTGTATGCGACGGAACTGCTCCTACCAGCTGTGCAGCCTTGCTCATGGTGCCAGGCCA